TAGTTTGAGTTATAAGCACAGCTACATTATTTCTATTCAAATGTAAGTAAATTTAACTTAAAAAGTTAAGACCAATGGAAAAATTAACTCAAGGTTAAAAATTTCAGCTTGCAAAAACGTACCTATGGTATTTTTTAGGGTGTGTGCTTTATCTCTAAATCCTGCTCTAGAGATTTTGGAAATCACACAGTCAGAAGCTACTTTCTTCTAATTAAAAAAAAAAATTATAAATTTCCCAACTTAAGGCTAGAATCAGTAAATTACTAAATAATTACATTTCTCATATCCAAGTATTATCTATAAGTACTTTGTGGAAAAGCAGAAAGGGGAAGTTTTGCATCTCTAACTAGTGAGCAAGGGCTTTCTTTTCCTTTCCTAATAAATTACAGGCAGACTTGAACAGATGTCAGGTTGGCATTCAAAACCTAAAATATAGCTGAAAAGCAAGTTATGACTAATACAAGGGAAAAAGATGAATGTCAGAAAGCTTCATTTTTTTTTTTCTTTTTTTCAAATTTCAGATAAGCTCTTTAGCCTTAGGGTTCCTTTTACAGAGCCCTGGAGTTCGGCTAGATGTCTTAACCCCCATTTAAATTGCAATCTCTCCTCATGAGTGGGGGTGTGAAAATGCATTTCAAGAGTGTCAGTGTTTATGTTAATCTTAGCAAGAACTCCCTCTCTCCCAAATATGGCATGTACAAAATCTTAGTGCCCTTTCTGCTCCGGTATTTTATTTGCACTGTTCTTAGCGTGTGAAAGATGTCTGCATGTGACTGAAAGGCCCCTTATCTTCCCGGCAGCTCTACTTCATAGAGTAACTGCACTTTCTCTTACGATGGCAGAAAAAGAGTTGCTTTCCTCTAGAATTTCAAAAGAAATCTTAAAAATACAATTGAAAATAGGCTTAGAGAGGGAGGCACAGGGGAAAGGGGACCAAAAAGAACACAGTGTCAGTTCCAAAGAATGGGGGCACAAGACCATAACAAGTGGCTTTCCTCCCACTAGGTGGCCTAGATATCGACAAGGTGTAGATCCACCAAAAGACAGTGTGAAGCTAGAGGCCTTAAGTCTCTACATCCTTTTCCTCCTAGCTCTAAAACAGATAGCTCCTGCCAAAGCCCCTTTCCTTGGATAAACATGGACCTTGTCCTAAGAGACACTGACTAATTCTTTAACAATTACTCTACTGTTCTTTGAAAAGATTTTGTTTTTTGTTTTTTTGCTCTGACATTTACAGTTTAGAGGTAATTGCCAGGGATGCTGAAAAATGAAGTTTCTTTGCAGAAATACGATCTTTGCCAACAAAAGAGCTACAAGGAGAACTGAGATAATCAATCAATCAGTTATCCTGAGCACTCCCCACAGAACTGCACACAAGGGAATAAGTGTGGCCAATGTCTGAACAGAGCATATATTCAGCCGACACCTGAGCATGCTCAAGGACAGCAATCAGCTGCTGAGTTTATTCCAGATACCAGTTTTTGATGGCCACATTTCTACCCTGGGAAGAAGGTGCTGCTATTATCCCACAAAGTAAGGATGTAAGGTCATTCTGTTTTTTTTTTTGAGGAAGATTAGCCCTGAGCTAACATCTGCTGCCAATCCTCTTGTTTTTGCTGAGGAAGGCTGGCCCTGAGCTAACACCCATGCCTGCCCTTCTTCCTCTACTTTATATGTGGGACGCCTGCCACAGCATGGCTTGTCAAGCGGTGCCATGTACACACCTGGGATCCGAACTGGGCCGCCAAAGCGGAATGTGCGCACTTAACCACTGCGCTACCAGACCAGCCCCTAAGGTCATCCCTAACTAAACGTCTATCATCATGGGGGTTTGAGGACATTCTAACTAACAAGCTATTTGGTATCCACTAAGTGCAAGGCAGAGGTCTAGTTTTCTTTGTGAATGCTTCCATATACTTCCAAGGAAGAGCTGCCCTGCCCAGGTTTGGGTGTCCCACTACTACAGAGAAGGAAGAATTAAAGAGCTACACTGATTAAAACAACAACAAAAACAAAAGTCCAAACTGATATTTCCCCTAAGTAATTCCTTTTCCTATTTCTGCACACAGACTTTCTACCTCTGTAGGGATATATGTGACTTTCTTCCCCCTTAAGGCTTTCCTTAATTTTAATTCTATAAAAATTTACTATTATAAAAATAGGAAGGTATATACTATGTACTTGAAAGTACTTCACGAAAGAAACTAACACACTGGAAACTCTAGGACACTTATTTCATGTATACTACCTCATCTGAGCACTCATTTTACTGCATAATTATGTGCCTCTGGTTAGTCCTGTAGTCTTCTTATATTTCATCAGCAGCATTCTGTATGTATCTAAACTACATTTTCAATTTTGAAAAGCAACATGAAGTTTTACAAGCAAAAGGAAAGAACTGTATTACCTAGAAGCATCATTATCAGTCTTATAAAAACGACAGAAAAGAATTCTAAATTTATCACTTTGTGAACTTGAAACTTTGATATATAGGCAAAAAGATCCATTTAGTTAAGATTCCTGTTTATAAAGTAGATATAACTTTAGACTCTATGGTAAAGATAATGATTTAGTCTCAAGCCAAAAGTACAAAAGTTCTCTGCTTAAAACAAAACAAAACAGCCCCATAACCTACATAAATTATTCTTTTCTAATCACTATTTTTCTTCCATTTGAACTGATTTAGCCAATCATACCCAGTGTCCAACTGAATCCCCAAACTATATAGGTTTATCTATTTTGTTAACAGAGTGAGGAAAAATCAGCCAATTTGTTCTCACCTGGCAGGGAAAAGAACATGGGGTATATACAAAAAGGACTCGTGGAATATTATTTTATATTCTATCCAAATGTAGTAATTTATACCTTTATCTGCCTTTACCAAAGCCTAATAAGAACTTTAAACCACACTGTACTTGCAGTACAATGAAGTATTTTCAAAGGAAAAAAGGAGCCCCTATTGGAAAACAGGGAAAGATACATGCATAGCAAGAGAATTATTTCTCAGTCATTTTACCATAAAAAAGTAGCTTTAGGACACTGAGAATCTTCACTCAGAATAAAGAAAATAATGTGTCTCAATTCAGCTCAAAACCTAAGGTAGCCTTAAACTTATTATCTTTTAAATCAAATTGATAACATACTTTTTCATAGCAAAAAGCCATAAAAAGAAAAAATATATTGCTCTTTAAAAAGGACAGAAATAATTTCTGCCTAATTAAATTAGTGTAAAAATATTAGAAAAATAAATCCATAAAAAAGGTCCTGGATAATAGCACTCACAAACAAAATTCAAATCCACGGTCCTTAGTCAAAAAACATGTTAACAACAACAAAAAGCATACTATTATAACTCAACTAATTTCAATATGGATTATAGAAACACAGATTAAATTCACTCAGAAATTCCAAATCTGTTTTAATATCAAACTCTTAAACAGCTGGAAAAGTCACAAATTGACCAATGTGAATCTTACTCCTTTACACATCGTCTCCCCAAGCCGACAGAAGCCCTAATGAGCAGGGTGTGGATCACGCAGCAACAGGAATCTAGCCTCTGAATAACCGAATCCTCAATACTTTCCAAACTGTGAGAAAATCCTTAGAATATGATTAAAAGATATGGCTTATTACAGAAGCAGTTATTTTTCTACCTGTTGGCTGAATAATATAAATGTTCAAAGAAACAGAATCATTATACTCTTTCTGCACAGAGCTCAGTCTTGAAAACCAGTAAAAATATTCCACAAGAATAACTTAGAACATTTGGAATCATCCTTTTATCTCTGCTTAGATCCAAAATATATGTAAATGATATTTCTATGTCTTGATCAAAAAGCTTTAAGGATTAATTGTATATCAAAACACACATTACCAACACAGTGAACTACCACATTTTTTACTACTTTCCAAATTAAAATTATGTTTTTTTATGAACTTGGCCTTTGTATCTCTCAGATTAAAAAGTATGTTGTTGCCATTTCAAGGTGTATAAACCTCAGGTGATGAGGGTCTCTGTCATTTTCTCTTAATCCAGTTCCAAACTCGACCTTTACCCAGCGAACAGGTGTGTGCTGTGCCGGTAATTTATCAGTAAGCCACCGGGCAGAAAAGCTCCCAACAATAGGAGGCTAACAGAACCAAGCACTTAGCGCCTAGAAAGCAGCTCTTCCCCCACCATGATGAATATACTTTTATCTCCCAGTAGCAATTTAACTATAAAGAATGATGGAGGTGAGGAGAGTAATAGATTCGTCTTCTTTCAGTTTTTTGGATACTGTTTTTATACTAACAGTCTGCCAGAAGCTGTTATGTTATAAATTCCTTTCTCAGATATTCTGTTGCTCACATTCCAATCCAACCTGTGATATGGATATGAAAACAGACATGAGAGCATTTCCAGTAGGGCAAATAAAGCCACTTCACACACAGATAAATTAAATAAACCTTCAAGAAGAAAGCGATAAATAGCTAAATGAATAGCGCAATTCTTTGTATGCGATGTGGAAACTCCTATGCATATCCTGCATTTGTCTGTTTGGATCAAACTTATCTAATTTAAAAACATGTTAACTATCCATTTACTAGGTATGAAGATATACTAATTGGGTAATGCAACAGCACAATAAAAAGCAGCAGCAGCTAATATTAGAACAATGCCCACAGTCTAACAGATAAAGATTATTTAGAAGGGTAAATCTGACTCAGAGTGGATCTTGAGAGTCAGGTGAAATTTCTAAATATGTCCTGTAGAAAAATATACTCGATTAAATAAATGAACAAAATAGAACAAACACAAATATTTCTATGACTTTCCCGTAAAATTTAAGTGTAATTTTAAGAGTTCTAATACTTCAAAGATTTCTTAGAAAAATTTATTTTTTAAAGAAGTTAAAATACTTTGGCAAGTCTGAAAAATAATTTCAAAATATTACTGAAAAGAGACTTTCATTTTTTTCTAACAATACAAGATCTTATCAAACTGTCCTTTTTAAACTCACCCATCTGCTCCACTATCTCTGGAGGAAATACTCGGGAAGCAAATGCTCGTCGAAAAATGTCTGAAAATTCCTTGTCCAGGCCTCCTATTCCCATCTTTTCAAAGTTCCAGTCAGGATTGATGATAGACTGGCGATTTTCCTTGGTTTTAGCTTTGCCTGTGTCAAACAAAGATAATCAATGTGAAACAAGAGCTTCATCACTAAGTGTAAAGAGACAGAACTCCCTGGGCATCCTCAATGAAGAAAGAGAAGCTACCCTGATAGAAAGATGAACACCATGCTCTCAGCTGATTTTCTAACAAGAAGGATGAGTTTTGCTATGATAAATACTTTGTCTGGTCCCCATTTAGAGACAGTAAAACACTTTCAAAATGACTTGCTAAACTCATGCTGTAGTCCACTTGCAATCAATCCATAGAGCTTGGTTTTATTAACCTCTAATCCTAACCAAGTTAACTAACTTGGCTGATTAGAAGAAACACCATGTGCCTATCTGATGAAGACAACACTAGTTGCCAGAAATGCAACTGAAATCTAGCAGTCTCTCAAGGCTCCTAAAGCAAGTGCATTTAAAAGTGCATATATTTATCTAGATTAAGTTCATAATTGGGTACATAACCCTTCAGCCTGAAAAGAGGCACTGAGTAAGTTTGATGTCTTATGTGCTTTTTCTTTACTTGCACACAAAAGTCTAAAATCATCCTAAATCTTTAATGATTTCAAAATTCATGTTTTCAAATTCTTTCACAAAGATGAAAATTATCTAACTTAAATGTCATAGTGCCACCTAAAGTAACCCAAGAGAACCACAATAACTATCTCAAACACAAAGAATAAAAGTGCCTTAGTATACTCTATTATAAACAAACAAACAAAAGAAACTAATATTATAGCTTTTTAAAAACTAGGGAAGAAAAGGTCGTCTTAGAAAATGTTTATCCTAGACCGTAATTTTATCCTTAGACTTTCGTGGACTTAATATTTCCTTTAGAAAGCTATCAAAAATATTTTTTCTTACACTCTACTGCCCTCTTGTGGCCATATTTACTGCATACTAAATCACCACACAATTTTATTTTCCAATAGAAAAAAACCTAACAATTATCAATCAAACATTCACATGAATTACTCAGAAATACTCACATTATATGAAACTCATGCAACTCCCTTGGGATAAGATACCTTACTTAACAAAACTACATTTTATTGTTTCTATAACAAAATAACAAAAGTGTATTTTATGTTCATGTACAAAATATAAAATACAAAGAAATCACTTTAGAAATGGATCAATAAGAGGAGATTATGATATATCCTACATCCATAAAATCACATATATAGTAATTAAAAATTATGTTGTAGAGGAATATTTAGGATGCTTGAAATATGTCAAACAAAAATAAATGATAATAGTATGAAAATAGAATGAAATTTAAAAATTTTAGTGTGTGAGTTGTTGAGCGAGTGCCTAACCATACTTTATGAAATAAATATTCTATTTTATAATTAAGAAAAAATCATAAGGGGAGAATGATAACTTATGGATCAAGAAAAAAGGCTATACATTCGAAGTTAAATAATCTTGGATATGATGGTGTGCAGCCAATGAAAACCGCCTACTTCTACTGGGGTAGACATCAACATAGTTAAATCAACAGAAAACAGGAATTACTGTACAGTTAATTGCATCATTATTCTGCTGAGTTACTATTCTTAGAGACTCATCTGGATTATTTTAATATAATAAAAGTAGGGCTAACGTACAAGAGTAGAACTGAACTATGAATCTACTGCAAAGACTTTCTTTACCTGCACATTCATCATTCAACTCAATCACAGATAGAAGTAACGACCATGTGAGGGATATTCTACAAAATAACTGACCAGTTCTCAAGATCGTGAAGGACAATGAAAGTCTGAGGAACTGTCGGAGACTGGAGAAGACTGTGGAGGCTAAGCAACTAAATGCATGTGGGATCTGGAATTACGGCCGGGAACAGAAAGAGGATATAATGGAAAAACTGGGGAAATCTGAATAAAGTCTATGGTTTAGTTAGCAGCAACGTAACCACGTTAATTTAGTTTTGGTAACTGTACTATGGTTATTTAAGATGTAACATCAGAGGAAGCTGGTGAAGGGTATACAGGAACTCTCTGAACTATTTTTGCAAATATTCTGTAAGCCTGCACTTACCTCATTATTAAAGCTTGAAAAATTAATTTTATCTCTATCTTTTTCCTTATTTTAAGGTGGTACTAGGAAACTGAAAATTACGTATGTGGCTCACACTATATCTCTATAGGACAATGCTCTTCTAGTGAAAGCTTTAAACCTTTCTTCTACATCAGCACATCTGACAGATATGAAATACTCTGTGATTCTGTAATAAGCCTTCTCAAGGGAGGTGCCCCATTCTCCTTCCCCACCTGAAAATCACAATGGTTGAGTCACATATAATAATAGAGATGGTTCCACTTCATTCAGAATCTTCTAAAGACTGTAAATCTGGGGCCAGCCCGGTGGCGCAGTGGTTAATTGCGCATGTGCCGCTTCTCGGCGGCCCGGGGTTCGCTGGTTCAGATGCCGGGTGTGGACACGGCATGGCTTGGCAAAAAGCCATGCTGTGGTAGGTGTCCCATATATAAAGTAGAGGAGGATGGGCACGGATGTCAGCTCAGGGCCAGCCTTCCTCAGCAGAAGGGGAGGATTGGCAGCAGGTAGCTCAGGGCTAATCTTCCTCAAAAAAAAAAAAAAAAGACTGTAAATCTTACCAATAAGGTTGAGTGATGAATTTTCCGCTTTTTCAAATGCAACTTGACTGTTTCCAACAACCAGTCCTATTTCGATCTGTATGAAAGACAATAATTAGTAGTTAGTCTAACAGCAGACTTCCAGACTTCTCAAGGCAAGGGCAAAAATGCAGGGGAAATGAGTCTCTCTGAGCAAAGCAAATCTTCCAAACCACGACCTAAGTTACATTTGCTTTTGTCATAACTACCTTCTCCTATTTCTATTTTATTTCAACGCATGTATCTTTTGATAATGCTTGTCTTATTACTTATTTACAATAAATAGCTGCATTCAACCAGAATTACAAGTATATATACAAATTTCAAGTTACTATTAGGTTTGCAAATAAATGTGTTTTATGCTTATTTTTATAACAGTGATAGCTATAAAAGGAATTTTTTCTTCCTACTATCTTAAAAGAAAGAGTAGGTTATATGAAAGAAATCACTGAGCAAGAGAGCGGCTGGGGAAATTATATTAATCTGCACATTTCACATCATAATTATTATCTAATAAAGATTATTAGAAATAAACCATACCTTCTGTCTTTTACCTGTCGCAGGCTCTCCCTTCAGGATGCTAGGATCCATGGCTTCAATATCCTTTACCAGTAAGCCAAAAAGCTTTTCATTGAAGCTAAAAACAAGCTATGTAGAAAAGACATAAGGGGAGAAAAACCACTTCATGATATACAGCTTGATTCTCACATCATCACCAACATTCCCCAAATGCAGGCAAGCAGCTGCTCCTGCAGATCCCTCTCAAATCAGCTCCACAGGCAAACCAGCCGCACAGCCAATGAGAGGAAAAGGGAACCAACATTTTATGGAGCATCTGCTATGAACCAACAAACACCACAGGAGATTCTGTAATTAATACGCACAAACTCTTGGAAACAGAAATTATTCCTCAGTTTTACTAGTAAGGAAGCTGAGATCCAGAGAGTCTAAGTAACGGGACCCAGAGTCACAGTAAATGATGGTGCCACATTCAAGCTTGAGTCTGTGGCTCTAATATTTATGCTTTTCTACTGTCAACATAAAACACCTGCCATACAAATGCAGAGACAGCTTCTGAATGCTCACTCATTCACCAAATAGTTACCGAGTGCCTTCTACAAGCTAGGCCCTCTTCTACGTGCTGAGGTATAACAGTAAATATAACAGGCAAAGCTGACTGTCAACCCCGCCAGTACTAACTACTGTGAATGGGAATAAATACTAAGAACGATGATTTGGGGTAAGATATTTACGTCTCCTCTGTATTATGGAAGATTTTCTTCCACGGGTTTACAGATATCTGCACGTTACTGGTTTTCAAGTTATTACAAATACCAAAGCATTTTTTAGTAAAATATTAAAGCTAAAGGAGAAGGTAAAAACAATGAAGTTTAGCTAGGCAATTTGAGCATAACTATAAGTCAACAAGTGTAGGAATCCAGAAGGAATATAGAATAGCCTCAAAACAATGGACAGGCAGTCAACAAATTATCAGCTGAATGTCACCTTGGGGAGCCTTCTAGGACCATCTAATCCAAAGTAGCACCTCAGTGGCTCTCTAGTGCATCATCTCACTTTACCTACATTGAAGTACTTAACAATATATGGCATTTCTTTCTTATTTTCTGTCTTCCCCAACAAGAGAGTAAGCTCTACCAGTAGGAATTGTGTCTGTTTTGTTCACTGCTGATCCGCAGGGCTTAAAATAACTGCTGAAACATAGTAGGTGTTCAATAAATATTTGTTCAATTAATTAACTGATCAATTGACGAATAGGTTCTTGTCTTGCTATGCCCGACTGTGTAGCCACGGGCACATCATTTACCTTCTCTGGACCTAAATTCTTCATTTGCAAAATGAGGAGATTAGGCGAGATAATCTCTGAGGTTCATTTCAATTCTAGTACTTCTAAAAATAATAATAAATGCACTGTATCCTTTTCCCGTCTACCAGTAATTCAGTTTCCACTGTGAAAGTTTATCATAATGGATGAATCATCCAGATGCTTAGTTTTGTTCTTCCAGATTTATGCCATTTTCAGTTAGACAAGAGAATCAAAAGAATGACACTCCTTCACTCCAACAGCTCTTTCCTTCTACCACTTCTCTCATTGCCCACCTTACATACCTTCCCATGTGAGAAACCACAAGGGCAGTCTAGGTAAGTCACTCGAGATCAGAATGCTATAAGCAGAGATTCTCAAACATTGTGGTCTCAGGATCCCTTTATATGCCTAAAAATTTTTGAGGACTCCAAAGAGTCTTTGTTTATATGGATTATATCTATTGATAATCACCATATTAGAAATTAGAACAAAAATTTAAAATTTATTAATTTAAAAATAACAAATCCATTATGTGTTAACATAAATAACATATTTTTAATTTACAAAAAACTTCCATCTTCCGAAGCAAAAAATAAAGTGGGAAGAGCGGCACTGTCACATTTTCACCAACCCCTTCAGTGCCTGCCTGAATGGAAGACTGCCGGGCATTATGTCTGCTTCCTCAGTTGACGTGCTGCGCTAGCAGCCAGCACGTGTCTGCATAAGGTCACTGCATGCTTGTGAGAGAATAAAAGGAAACGACACATCATGTCTTGGTATTAATATGAAAATATTATGACTCTATAAACCCCCTGAAAGGGCCTCAGGGACCCCCAGGGGGTCTCAAGACTACATTTTGAGAAAATTTTGAGTAAAATTTTAAAATAGAATTTCTTTCTAGGAGGTCAGAAATATGATACCAACTGAAGTGCAAAAAAGGAGGCAACACCAGCAATATCATTTTAAAGGAGACAATATCTGGGCTCCAGAGGTTCCATAAAAACCTGAAAATATGTATTACATAGTTTTCTTAAGCTTCTTAAGAAGTTCATAACCAAAAAAAGTTAGGAACTACTTTTCCATAGAAATGTATCAGTGAAAAAGAAAGACACCCAAAGATAAAACAAACATCCCACAAAAAGAAAAGAAGTAAGAAATTTGAGACATATGCCTGTAGTGTTTCCAAATTTACAGAGGGAAAAGCTGCTGTAATTATATATGACTTTGTAACCTAAAAGCTACTTCAGAATTTTCCTCAACAAACTCCTAGAGGTTCAGCAAATACATTTCCCTCAGTTTTTATCACTCATCTTGGATATACCTGTTAACATGCAAAGCTCCTCTCAGTCTTGTTTTTTGGGGTTTGTTTGGTGAGGAAGATTGGCCCTGAGCTAACATCTGTGCCAGTCTTCCTCCATTTTGTATGCGGGATGCCTCCACAGCATGGCTTGATGACCGGTATGTAGGTCCGTGCCCAGGATCCAAACCTATAAACCCTGGGCCACTGAAGCAGAGCACACGAACTTAACCACTATGCCACAGGGCTGGCCTCTCCTCTCAGTTTTTAAACGGTAGTATCAATTTCGGACATCTGCAGAAATTAGAATGCCTATAAAGTGAAAGGAATGACAGAAAATTTAAAACTACCTGCTGTCCCACTGAGAATGCCTGGTTGTTGAACTGTTGAATAAATTCTGCAGCCATCTTGTCAGTATCATAAGGGTTGGAGTCAATGCTTTTTTTCTGCAGGAAATCAATCTCAATGGTCATTGTGCCAATACATTGTTTGGCCTTGTCAAATGTATATAAGGACACTAGGAAAAAAGAAGCATTTTTTAAATCACAGGGGTACCAAATATTTGCTGTGTTTTGAATAACTAAAAGTTTAACACAAATGAATCATAACAGAACTTGACGAAAAGGGGGCTTTACATGGCCTTCATTGGAGGGACACGTAGGTACAGATTTTAAAAAATAATAATAACTACTTTCTTCCCTTCTGAATTAATTAGAACATATTAAACAGCACTCTCCCCCTACTTTTACCCATCACCCAACTCTTACGGGGAAATCACAGCCCTCCCAAGATGGTCCCTGCATCTTCTTCCCTCTCACTTAAAGTAGGACGAAACGACAGCATGGGAGTCCCAGTGGAGTTGGCATAACATGCTGTTTCCAAACAGATTTTTGTTTGACACAAGAATAAGCTAAGGTGAGAGGTGAGTGGACTCTTCTGCCCTAGCAAAGTAGGATGCAGGACAAAAAAGAGAAGGCTTGAGAAGCAGTGTTTACTAGGATGATTTGCTCCAGAGCATTTCTTTTTTAATACTACTAAAATATTTACTGAGCACCTACCATATCCAAGGAACCAGTACGTTCTTCGTGTGCAACATGTAGAACAGGGCAAGGACTGTGTTTTTAACTCATCTCTGTATTAACAGCACCTAATAGTCTGTTAGATGCTTGATATATTCATGAATTATTTAAATTAAACAACAACAACAGCAAAAAAGCTATAGTCTCCATGCGAATAACAAAGGGACTTTGGAGTCTCTGTGTTTCAATAGATTCTGTCAGTAACTGGAAGAAACTACGTAAATCATCTAGCTATGTGCCTCGATTTATCACATTTGTAAAACAAGAAAACTGGACTAAATAAATCTTTATGGTCCTTTCATACTCTAAATTCTGGTCTAAGCTTGCTTCTTATAGTCTAGCCACTTGAGTTATGTACAAGGATTTTCCATAAATTCTTTGAATGAAATTGCTTCTGTAATCATATTTTTATATTTTGGTTTGCTGTTGTAAAGGGGGACACACATATTTTAAAGATTAACATTTTCAAAAGCAAAAGAACAAAGAAAGCCAGGATGAGGGATAGAAAATTCACTGAAGTTCAAAGAATAAGTTCAAATCTCAGCTGAAAGTTTCAGAATACTCTGCCTCCACTTCTGGGTGTTTTGCTCTTTCTTAATGTTTCCTAGAAAGTTCAAGGTATATGCTAAGTAACTTTCATAAGCAAGACAGCTTAGTTGTTTCCTCACATAGTGAAGCTATGTACAGTATGAAATACTAAGGTAAAAATGAATAAGTTGATTCAGCAATTCCATCTCCAGGTGTCAGTCCCAGAAAGACTTGAACATTTGGCAAAAGAGATCTATATGGAGGTTCATTGCAGCATTATTTGTAACAGTCAAACATTGAAAAAACACTGAGCAGGAGGAGAATGATGAATGAAATGTAGCATATTCATAATGCGGAATACTGTACAGCAATTAAAATAAAAATGATGTACATTTGATAAAGATGGATAGCCCACTAAAACATCATATTGAGTTTAAAAAGTATACTGCAGAAAGATTTGTACAGTGTGATACCATTTTGTGAAAAGACTCCAAAATAATTCCATATCATAATGCATATATATGTATGTATCACCTTTATATCAAGAAATTGAATAAGTGTATTCAAATATCATCATTACTGACTATAGTTTTCAAATGCATTTTAATTTAAGCCAATGTTCTTAAATAAAAAATACCAAGTTGTTACAACAGTTTCAAATGCTGCAGGCAGCACCATGGACAGTGTCACAGGCACCACCAAGGTCAGCACCATGGTCAGCCCCAAAGGGACAGATGCCCTGAAGGTTTCATCCAGGAGCAAAGAAGAGCCAGAGGGTTGAGAACGTTTTCTTATTTTATGGTTAATAAAATTTAATGTCAAAGACTAATAAAAAATACTTGTATAAGAAAAATAATTTATAGCCATTACTTTGAATAAACAGACATTACAATAATAGGTATACTACAACGGTCAAAAAACATTTGTTATTGAACATCAGTTATAATATTTAAAATATGGCATTTCCAGATGGAGAGAAGACTAAATGATTCTTTTAGAAGATTCCCTCAGACTAAGATCACTTACTTGACTTAAAAATTATCTCACCTTACAGACAGAACTCCTGTTCCAGAATCTCTGAATTAGCACTCTCCATACTACCTCCTGTCCTATCTTTGCCTACATCTCTACTTGTGCTGAACCAGCTTTCTACCTTTTATGGCCACATTGTCCATACCATTTAGGCCCCCAAACTTTTCCATGCCTCAACTTATTCCACCTTAGTCCCACCTAATCACTTAGTTTTATAATCTTGCCCATTAAGTCTATTTTATTCATCTTTTAAAGAACTGCCTTTACAATCAAGATAAGCATTTCTGGTAGCAGGAGAATGCTTTAAACATAATTTAAGCTACAAAACACATTTCTCAATTCATCAAAATTTTTAACTTTGAACTTTTATACCTTTTCACAACAGAATTTATCTACACTAAAAGTTAAATTTAAGCACACTCTTAACCCTATATTTAAAAAAATAAGTTTAAGGAAATTAGAAATCTAGGCTATATACATACCCATTTTCTCATTAGGTTTAACAGTGTTCATTTTTATGAATTAAGTAATTAAGTTCATTTTAAGTAATAAGATTTTAACACACCACTCTCAGTGCAAGACAGGTCAAGGGACCAAAAATAAGTAAGAATATAGAAGATCTAAATAGCATAATCAATAAAGTAGAGCTTATAGGTATATGCAAAACACCACCCTCTGACAGCAGAGAATATATCTCCTTTTCAGTGCACATGAACCTTTTTCTCTACCCTCTTAGCATATTTTAAGTCTACAACACAGTGTTAATTACAATCACCACGTAGCAATTAGAGCTCCGGAACTTATTCATCTTGCATAATTGAAACTTTGTACCTTTTGACCAACAACTCCTCATTTTATAAATGTCATCTTCAAAAATGTCATCATTATGAAAGGAAAAAATAGCTAATGATTCGAGAAATGATAACTAAGTGCAAACACGATCCTGAACTGGATCCTACCCTGAAGGGGAAAATGCTATACAGGAGATAACCAGGACAATTGACAAAACTGGAATATGAACTATAGATTAAAGTTTCAATGTTTAATTCTATCAATGTTTTACTTTCCTGAATTCGATCAGTATAAGAGCACATCTTTGTTCATAGGAAATACCCACTAAAGTATTAGAGGTAAAGAGGAATGATTTCCACAACTTAATCTCAAATGATTCAGAAAAGAAATGTGCGTGCACATGTTTGCATGTGTGGAGAGAAAGAAAACGATTAAAAAAAAATAAGACAGGGGCTGGCCTCGTGGCCAAGTGGTTAAGTTCGCGTGCTCCGCTGCAGGTGGCCCAGTGTTTCGTTGGTTCGAATCCTGGGTTCGGACATGGCACTGCTCGTCAGACCACGCTGAGGCAGTGTCCCACATGCCACAACCAGAAGGACCCACAACGAAGAATAGACAACTGTGTACTGGGGGGCTTTGGGGAGCAAAAGGAAAAAATAAAATCTTTAAAAAAAAAAAAATAAGACAATTGGCAAATCTGGGTAAAAGTAGTATACAGGAATTCTCTGTATTATTTATTTATTTGAGGAAGATTAGCCCTGAGCTAACATCTGCTGCCAATCCTCCTCTTTTTTGCTGAGGAAGACTGGCCCTGAGGTAACACCCATGCCCATCTTCCTCTATTTTATATGTGGGACGCCTGCCAGAGCATGGCTAGACAAGCAGTGCATAGGTCCACACCCGGGATCCGAACCAGCCAAGCCCAGGTCGCCGAAGTGAAACATTAGAACTTAACCACTGCACCACCAAGCCAGCCCCTCTGTATTATTTTTGCAATCTTTCCATAAATATGACTTTTTTTAGGTTTTAAAAGCAACCAGGGGCCAGGCTGGTGGCGCAGTGGTTAAGTGCGCACATTCCACTTTGGCAGCCCGGGGTTTGCAGGTTCGGATCCCAGGTGCGGACATGGCACACTTGGCAAGCCATGCTGTGGTAGGCGTTCTCTATAAAATAGAGGAAGATGGACACGGATGTTAGCTCAGGGCCAGTCTTCCTCGGAAAAAAGAGTAGGATTGGCAGCAGATGTTAGCTCAGGGCTAATCTTCCTCAAAAAAAAAAAAAAAAGCAAGCAGAAAAAAAGCTGGCTTAATTACAATTGCATTTTCTTTTCTTCCCCTACAGTACCCATGAAGCTGACATGAAATTTTCTGACAAGAAGATACATATTCTATTTCTCCAACTTTGCCACACTGCTTAAGAGACAATGCCAATTCTTGCTTATAATCCACAAGTGGCTTAGTCCTTTTATTCCCCTTAAGTCATGAATTGCTTTCCATGCCCTTCCCTAACGAACTATGACGACTTTATAACACATTTCATTAAAAAAAGTACACCATTTGTTTAAGTATTGCCAGCCTTTCTTCCCCTTAACCTAAATGTGATTTATCTTTCCAAACAAACACAGAAGAAAACATATCTCATATACAGTAAAATGGAATCACCAAGTAATATCAATTATTCCTCTTCAACATAACAGAATTTTAACAAAATTTTCCACAGCTGTAATTTCACAAAGCCCTATTCAACTAATTCTAGGCAAGTCAAATAACTTCTGAGCTATTTTCCTTGACTCCTGAATTCTCCCAACTCCTCACTACACTCCACACTGACATCAGAATTGTTTTCTAAAGGTACGATTTTGACGGGCTCATTCAGAAATCCTTAGGAGACTTCAATTGGCTTTGTGTAAAATCCAAAATTTTCAGTATGTACTTCATTGCTAGGCCCTCCACTAACGGCATGGCTCTCATCGCTTACTACAACCCAGTCAGGCAAATCCCTTCAATCAGGCAACATCTCGGTGAGCACTGCCTACGGTTTGCCTGCTCCCATCTCACTACCTTTATTTATATTATTTCTCATCTTAAGAGTCTTTCTTCCTTGTCTCTACCATGTAATGACTTCCTCCTACTTCATAATCATGCTTAAAACTCCAGTGCCTAGAAAGATTTCTCTGGCTAATTTTCCAGTCTCCAGTCAATTCATCCACTCCTGTTCTATCTTAGCACTTTTCACAGAGCTCCTAATGCTAATATTTGTGCACATATTTACCTTGTAAATATTATGTAAGCAACAAATATGTGGATATTCTTCCCCCATTAGATTATAATTTCCAGGCAGAAAGAAGAGCAAGGAGGGGGCCGGCCCGGTGGCGCAGCGGTTAAGTTCGCATGCTCCGCTTCTCAGCGGCCCAGGCTTCACCAGTTTGGATCCCGGGTGTGGACATGGCACCGCTTGGCACACCATGCTGTGGTAGGCGTCCCACATATAAAGTAAAGGAAGATGGGCACGGATGTGAGCTCAGAGCCAGGCTTCCTCAACAAAAAAGAGGAGGACTGGCAGTAGTTAGCTCAGGGCTAATCTTTCCTCAAAAAAAAAAAAAAAAAAGAACAGCAAGGAGATAAAGAGGTAGGTACCATAACTATTTACTTTCCATTCTCATAGATCTAACCTGTAATATGAATAGGATGAATGTTTAATGGCCTGACAACTAGTAACAGAAAATTGTACGGATCTCCATAACTATGAGAAAATCATAAAGAAAATTTACCTCAGGTAGCTAAAAAATATACCTACCTTCTATTTCTTGCCCAATAGAAAGTCCAGCCCATTTTCGCTATAAAATAAAAGAGAAAAAAAGACATTTAAAACCACATCAAACAAAATTAGAGAAATAAGGAAAAGAGGAATTCCTATGAGTTTCAGGAACACATACAAAGACCAAAACATGGTACGCCTTTATTGAGTTGTGTTTCACAAAAAGATATGTTGAAGTCTTAACCCCTGGCACTTGTGAATGTGACCGTATTTGGAAACAGGGCCTGCAGATGCAATCAAGTTAAGATGAGGTCTTATTGAATCAGGATAGGCCCTAGGCCAATATGACTGGTGTCCTTATAAGAAAAGAAGAGACACACAGACACACAGGGAGAAAGTCATCTGATAATAGAGGCAGAGACAAGTGATACAGCTACCAGTCAAGGAACATCAAGGATTGTCAGCAACACTGCAAGCTAAGCTTGGCACAGATTCTTCCCTAGGGCCTTCAGAGGGAGCACGGCCCTGCTGACACCCTGATTTCAGACTTCTAGCCTCCAGAACTGTGAGACAATAAATTTCTGTTGCTTTAAGCCATCCAGTTTGTGGTACTTTGTTATGGTGGCCCTAGAAAATTTATAGGCTATAGTTTATATTTGAACACTTGTCCAAAAACATACAAAGTTTGCCTTTTTACTGTAAAGCCGGCACCACTGAGTAGCATGAGCCTTTGCAAAATACAATGCTCCTGAAGGCCTTCATAGTATCAGAGAATATTTCAGTGTGGTAAATGTACTGTGGTTAGTTATACTGTTTGTTACAGTATCACAAAAAGAGAAACATTCAATTCATGAAAACTAAATTAATAGATAATCTATAATGAAACCCAAGTAGGAATTCAGATCACTAAATGGTCATCACTAAAAGGATTTTCAGACATTTGCAACCAGATTTTAGCTTCTCCCCAGGCCCTAACTAGTTACAATGGCAAGAACGTATGGAGGCAGGCAAGACTGTGTCTAGGCAGGAATTCAGGATTGGCTTGGTATAGATTCAAAATTAGTAATTACTGGTAACACTTCCAAGAACAGTGAGAAAAACAATTTTTGGCTGAAAATCAATAGTTTGTCTACTCATCTGAACACTGTGGATTTTGTGGTGGAGAGTTAAAAGATGCTGCATTGTGAGCATTATTCACCATAGCCAAGAAGTGGAAGCAATCCAAGTGTCCAGTGACTGATGATTGGAGAGAGAAGATGTGGTAGATACATACAATGGAATACCACTCAGCCATAAAAAAAGACAAAATCGTGCCATTCACAACAACATGGATGGACCTTGAGGTATTATATTAAGTGAAATCAGCCAGACAGAGAAAGAGAAACACCGTACGATTTCACTCATATGTGGAATATAAACTAACACACGGACAAAGAGAACAGTTACATGGTTACTGGAGGGGAAGGGGGTTGGGAGTTGTGAAGGGGCACATTTATATGGTGACTGACAAATAACAAAGTCCAACTGAAATTTCACAATGTTATAAACTATTATGACCTCAATAAAATAAAAATTAAAAAAAATAAAAGACGCTGCATTTTGAATATGTGCAACGTCAAGTGTTCTCCCTTCCAACTTTCTCACCGTAGGTCACTTCTCCCTCCTCTCTGCCCTTCACCTCCTTGTTCTGTAATATCCCATCCCACTTCCAGCCAACCTGAAATTTAGCAGCATGCTAGGTAAGCCCAGACTCTGAGTCACAAAGCAGCCACATTTAGGTTCCATACTTCAATTCCAAAGAGAGCCTCCAGGGATGATAATAATAGTATCCATCATATGGGGTTGTTTTGAGAATTAAACGAACTAACACATGCAAAAGTACTTAGAATAGTACCTGGCCTCTAGTAAATGTTTCTTTAAAAAGCAGAGAGACAAGGAGAAATAGTCAGCAACCCCATTTCTGACCACCAGAATCCCAAATGTAGCTCTGTAAAAGCTGGCAAACTTTAGAATATCCCAAACCTTTGATCTATAAAACAAGTGTGAAAAGTAGTCTTGATAACGGAGAGGCATCCAAACAGAGAACAGGAGACTAGTGAGAGAAGATTTCCCATAATCTTTGAGGGTTTCAAGAGATCTTTAACAGTTCCCTAAGGAGTGTCTGATCTCTCTCCCTGAACTTCCGTGGGAGTAAATCAATGCTCACTGGCATAGTAGAAGGAGGTAGGGGTTACATTTACATTGCTTAGGCTGTGGAATCAGCAGCATGAGCAAGATGATAAGGGAGACAAGGACCCAGATTAGCAGTTGTGATGCTCCCAAATTATCTGTTACGTTCCTGCGACAGTGGTAGGCCACTTTCCCTCCACAGAATCCACCAACAGTTGTAGACGAAATCATAATTCTTCCACTTGTTCCAGAAGCCCAGCAAGTTAGGTTGAATTTGAGATAACAACTACTTATATCATATTCTTTTCTTTAGTCTCACATCATGGCATCTTAAAATCACTATTAGATGTCAATTTTACAAGCAAATGTTATTTTTATATATTTTCTGGTTACCCTTTGAGTTAACATTAAAATAACGTGACATTTTATCTCATAGCTAACCGATATTACAGCAGAATTTTTTAAAATTAGAAAAAATCAAGGCAATAAAAGGGAGACACAGTAAAAACTGGCAATTAAGAATATATCTTTAAATCTCTTGTATAATGTCTAGATGATTTTCTTCAATGTCAATCAATACAGCTATAGGGTAATACTCGCTTTAAATGAATTGATTCTTCTACACCTTTCAAGAACAGAAGAGAATGCATTAACATCTGAGTTACCTGAGGTAAGCTGAATGCAATGCTCCCTGGAACCACTGATGGATGGGTCCTCAGAGTAAACGTGTACCTGTGGTTGGGAGAGGTCCTCACAATCACATGCCTAAAAGACAGAAACACAGTCAGTACTCCACGTCAAATGTGTTCACTTCCAACAACTGATGTTTGTTGAGTACCAGGTGGAAACATGGCATTACGAGAGTCCTGAAGGAAGAGGACCACAAATTTCATTTCCAAAGAATGTCAGCAATTCAAAATGTTTTCCAGGCATAAGGAGCACCTTGGGCCAAACACACATCAAGCAGAATCAGGACCAAGTTAAACAAAGTGCATACCATCCAAAACATCAACTTCATTACATTTCCAATTTACATAAAACTGAAGATAGTGATTTAGAGTCCTTGATATTAAGCAAAAATTAGATGACTTTCCTTTCCTGAGAATTATTTCACATCCTAAATAGAATAAAGGGAGGAGAACCCAGATAGAAGAGCCAGGATATAACCGTCAAAATAAAGTTAGTTTTTAGGACTATTCATTAAATCTCTTTGCACACTCTCACAACAGGTTAAAACAGTAAAAATCCGTAAAATTTAAAAATGAAAAATTTTCACAAAATACATCAGCTTTCATATAGATATCAATATCTACTATTTCAAAGCATTTTGTGCTAATTCACCCTGCTCAGAAGTTATTCATAAACAGATAAAATACAGTCATCTCATGATTATTTTCCACACCAAGAAACTGCCAAGGACTGCGTCTGAGATGGAAGCTAACAACTGTTGCCAATCTTTTTTTTTTCCTGCTTTTTCTCCCCAAATCTCCCCAGCACGTAGTTGTATATTTTAGTTGTGCGTCCTTCTAGTTGTGGCATGTGGGATGCCGCCTCAGCATGGCTTGATGAATGGTGCCATGTCCGCGCCCAGGATCCAAACCGGTGAAACCCTGGGCTGCCGAAGCAGAGCGCTCAAACTTAACCACTTGGCCACGGGGCTGGCCCCAGAAGCTTCAAACTCTTTTATGCAACAGCACCATCTTTTTTAAAATTACATTTTAGAATGCTATAATTTTTTAATATTAATGGTAATGCTTCTATATATATCATTTTGCTACTAGAACACACAATATCAACTACATTTTAAGTATCTCTCCGTGGGTACAGTGAACCTTCAGCACATATAAAAGAATTCCATGAGCAAATTCTCACACTGATTATCCATACTCCAGCGTATATATGGAAAGTCCCGTGTTCAACTTAGCACCACAGAATTTTTAGGACTAGAAACAATACAATCATGAAGTACAGCCCCTTACTCTGAAGCTGAAAACTGCAGATGATTAGCAATTCTACCTCTGTGAAACTCATGTATTTCACAGTTGGCTTAAAAAAACAAAAAAAGGCTCAGTTAAAATCCTGCCTCTCTGCTCCGTATTTCCTAGCTTGCCTGCTGGTACAGTCCCTTCATCTCCTTACCTCTACCAACCTCAGAAGCATATGGAGGGCACTGCACTTGGTAGCAGAGTCTTTAGAAGTTCTGGCAGCAGGTGATATGAATCAGTTAAAATAAATGACAAGGAAAAATGCTTGTAAACATTCTGCATTTGTTACGCATCTTCCAGTTTTCACATCCCTTAGATTGTCATAGTAATGATCAAAATAGCTAATATTTATTGAGGGCTTATTAATGTGCTAGGCACTGTTCTAAGTGCTTTCTTTGTGTAACTCAATCTTCTCAGCTACCCTAAGGAAGACATTATCATCACCACAATTTTACAGATTAGGACACAGAGGTATACAGACAGTAAATAACTGACCCATGGTCACCCAGTTTGTAATTGGCAGAACCAGGAGCCAAACTGAGACAATCTGACTCCAGAGCCAAAAACCTAATAATTATGCTATATATTATTCATACAACCAGTATGTCAGTTCTGCTAAGAAAATAGAGAAAAAATAAAAGTTATATAGAAAAAGCTATGTATGAATTAAAAAACATTATATTTATCAAAGTTAAGACAGTAAAAACTGAAATATATAACTCATTTTCATCTCTTCCATTTTCCAACTCAGCAAAAGGAATAAAAAAATTATTCTAAAGTTTCCTAAAAAATAAGGGCTCTCTAGAAGTTTCTAACATACGACTTAGCAGGTTAGAAGAAAATAAAGTTAGGTACTCACTGGCCAGACTGGAAATCCTTTTCATTCACAACTGCACAGTTAGTTAAAGATAATTCATCTGTAGGACATCTTGCAGCTTGCATACTCTATAAAAATCAATGATATGGAAAATAAGATTGTCATCTTTCATAACCTTACAGAATAGTTTATGCCTTCCTGTCCTCTATTCCTCATCACTTAAGTAACACTATTGTTTTTGACTTCAAGCATCCCTTTCCCTGTGACAACAGCAAACCCTTCCTTTGGGAAACTGTTCCTTCCCCATTCCCCATGCTTCTGAGGGCCTGCCAATCACAGCACACACACAACCACACAGAGTCCTATTCCATCCAGGGGATTTTATATAGACAGGTGCTATAAGAAAGGCATTCTCTTGGAGCCAGCCCCATAGAGTAGTGGTTAAGTTTGGCACACTCTGCTTAGGCAGCCTGAGTACACAGGTTTGGATCCCAGGCATGGACTTACACCACACATCAGCCATGCTGTGGCAGTGACCCACATATAAAACAGAGGAAGACTGGCACAAATGTTAGCTCAAGTCTAATCTTCCTCAGCAAAAACAAAACAAAACAAAACAAAAAACCAACGCATTCTCCCTTGCCTCATCACTGCATGGAGGAAAATTTTCTGCTTCCTCTGCTCTAAAAGAGAGTAAAACCACCACAGAGAAAGCAAAGGAGACAGACATGGCAAACAAATACACATCTTGAAACACAGACCTGACAACCAAGTTAAAGTGCTTGAGACCACTCCTGAACACTGGTTATGAGCTAATAAATTCTCTTTTTTTGTTCTAGCTTATTTGAGTTGGTTTTCCATTTCCTCCAAAGGAAAAAAAAAAAAAAGAATTTTAACTGATTCAAATGCAATGAAGTAAATTCAATGAGTTTGATAAAGTGTCTCATGAAAAAGTATGTTTTTATAAGAGATCCCAAGTGGCTATGAACCATATCTCCTATACGTTGGAAAAGCCATCTTCCAAATATCTCCAATAAAGATAATTACAGGGTTATTTTTTAAAACAGCAATTAATCTTTTTGATCAACAGCTACTAGCAAAACATTCCTTCACAGAATGTATTTAACCAACATCCCTTCCACCAAAGTCTAGGGTTTCCTAGTTAGTGAACTATGACGCTTGTCGTCCTAGTCTGTTACGACTAAAGTGCTCGTTCTTCAAACCTCAAGTCAAAGCTGATTCTTTTTAAATTTGTCTCCCAAATACAAATTTAGAGAGGAAAATAAATCACTTTTTGCCTTGTTTTTGTTTTAACTAAAAGGCTAGTTTCAATATAGTTATCTCAGCTGTTTGGAGTAGTGATCTCTAAAGTGGGATATGTGCACCTGAAGGGTTTGCAAGATAATCCAAGTACCAAAACAAACTGAACTTAGAGACAGACCTCCAAATAGATTTTAAAGAATAATGAAGCATCAATTTGCTTTCCATATTAATAAGTAAAATAAAAATGAGAATATATTTTTCATCTTTAGTTCATCCTTTTTCTTTCTTTTTGTATATGTTTTACTATGTATATAAACTATTAATATATCACTTATAAATAAGTGTGTATGTATATTGGGGATACATGAACAAAACATTCTTTACTTACGGGATTCATGATAAAATGTTTAGAAATTACTAATCTAGAACATGAGATGAATGAAGTCTAGGTCCTAAATTTGCTTTCCAAATGAGATAGTATTTTGCCCCCGGTCACAGTCTGACCAGGCATATGACAAAAACGTACCAAACTTTTTTAGTTTCCCAACTACCCTGGGGTCTCTTTCACCTACAAGCTTCTTCCTTTTATATTCTTCTCTCTCCCCTAACCCTGAGGCCCCTTGCCTAGCCAACACCTACTCATCCTACAATTCTTAGCTTAGACATTACTTTTTCTAGAAGAACTTCCTAGACATCTTCCTCTCCCACTAAACTGATAAAATTAACTTCAAGTGGAAGCACCCGACTATTTTTATTGTCTGTTTACATGTTTGCATTGCATAAAAGATGTAAGTTTGTCAAGGACTGAGAGAGTATCTTGCTCACTTCTATGCTTCCTGGGCTAGCAGAGGGCCCGGCACACAATGAGTGCTCATCAAACATTTGTTGAATAAATGAACTTACGTATCAATACAAATCTATCTCAACTGCAAAATGAGCGATGCAAAGAACATGTACACAAAGGACATTTCAAGGTTATTGAGGAAGTGATACAATTTAATAAAAATGATCGAATAATTCAAAATTACACAGAACTGACATAGCCTAAGTACTAATAAAAAATCTACAAAATGCTAAGTTAACCTTTTCATTTGTAACTTCTTTACTTGTCAAAGAGGTGGTGCCCTTCAAAAAAGAGTGAGAAAATATGTAGAAGTCATCTGGCTGGCCAACTAAAACAGATGCTGTGAGCAAAAGCCCTCCCTACTGGAATTTAGAAGCATCTGTGTTTTTATGGTGAGCCAAGCAGAGTGTCTCATTTTCTCATAAAAATATAAGTTCCTATAAATAGTAGCTGTTAACACAACACAGTAATGCCAAGGGAAAATTCCATAATTTTTCTAACATTGACCTTGCTTCTAGGAAACAATATTAAAAGTCCAGCCACTACAGCCATGCAACTGTTAAGAAATGAAAATATAGAATTGATGGGCAATTTTATATAAGTTTAATTATCTGAGTTACTAGAACATTTAACTCTCTGAGGGCTGTAAAATTTTTTCATTAATAACTTGAAATGTAAAAAATTATTAACATTACTACTCAAAAGAATAAAAATCTCAAATGGAAACTTTACTGGAAGTAATTATATTATTATTTATTTGAAAGCCTTTAAATGAAGAAAGAGAATTTGCTTCTCTTCGTCAAAAAAATTGGGAGGATTTACCAGGACCCCACTGGCAACATTATACAGTTTCAGAATATAAATAACACACTTTCATCCAAAAGTCTACTTTAAAAATTGGGTTATTTAAGCATATGCATGCTGTTTTGGTAAGGAAAAATAAACAGTGTAGTACCTGACTAGAAGAGCTCATGACCAAATAACTGCCCCCACCCTAACAAGGGCAAGAACCCTCACGAATCCACTGGTTCTCCCTCTGTGGTGCCTCAGGCCGTGGTTACAGCTCTCTAAAGACACGTGAATCCCCCACAGGAACAGGAAGTACGATAGAAAAGATGAACATGCCCGAGAGCCAGTTCAGCCAACAAGTCTCACTCAATTACTTCTTGTCAGATGAATGTGTCTAGTGCTTACTTTATTGAACATTGCAGTTTAATAAAGTAACCACTAGACACATATGGTGATTAAAATTAAAATTAATTAAAATTAAAAATTCAGTTCTTCAGTCACACTAGCCACATTTCAAGAGCCACATGTGGCTAGTAGCTATCAATGCAGAAAGCTGCATGGGATAGTGCTAGTCTAGAACAATGTGAGAAAGGCCATCAGGAATACCTGTCTTCAGGCCTATAGAATCACTCCGTGCTATACACTCCTGTAATAATAATTTCTGTCAAAATGTTGAAGTCATAAAAACAAAACAAAACAAAACAAAAATGTTGAAGTCATGTGGGACTAGAAGTGATGAGGTAGAAATAAGTTAAACTTGCATGTCCTATAGTTATCTTTTTTTTTTTTTGAGGAAGATTAGTCCTGAGCTAACTACTGCCAGTCCTCCTCTTTTTTGCTGAGGAAGACTGACCCTGAGCTCACATCCGTGCCCATCTTCCTCTACTTTATATGTGGGACGCCTACCCCAGCATGGCGTGCCAAGCAGTGCCATGTCCGCACTGGGGATCCGAACCAGCGAACCCCGGGCCGCCGAGAAGTGGAAAGTGCGAACTTAACCGCTGCGCCACCGGGCCAGCCCTATAGTTATCTCTTAAAAGAATCTGTAAGGACATCTTTCACATTATCTATCTCAGACCATTAACTATTCACATAAATGAACCTCCTGACATCTCTGAAGGCCTTAAAATTCCCTTACAAATTTTTATGGGAAAAGAAAAAAGCATGTTCCTATTTTGTTTTTTTGGGTAAAAAAAAAAAACACACAAAGAAAAATGTAAAAGCCTGACAACATTAAATATTGGCAAAGATGTGATGCAGTTTCTTATAAAGTTAATGTGACCTAGTCAAGAGAAATGAAAACACAGTCACGCTTGTACACAAATGTTCGTAGCAGTTTTATTCATAACAGCCAAAAATTGGAAATAACACAAATATCTACCAAGAGGTGAACAGATAAACAAATTGTGGTATAGCCATACAATGGAATACTACCCAGCAATTAAAAAGAAACTAACTACCGATATACACAACAACATGGGCAAACCTCAAAAACATAATGCTGACTAAAAGAAGCCAAATGCGAAATAAGAATTCATCTTATATTATATAAAATTCGTCTCGTATTTAGAGGAATTTATAGAAGAGGCCAAATTAATCTAGACTAACCAAAAAAAAAAAGGCCAGTGGTTGCCTAGGTGAAATGGACAGCAAAGAAGCATGAAGTAATTTTTTGAGACGACAAAAATGTTCTATATCTTGACTGCTTGTATTTTATTATATATAGGTTATACCTCAATAAAGTTGAGAAATGATGCTGTGATTTTTTAATGGCTGGGCAATCTCTAATAATTCCCATTGCAAATATGGGATAAATGCTGAGACTATAAAATATAGTTCAGGTACAAGGTCAAAATGGGGCCCCAGACTCACGCAACAAAGACCTAGACCTTGGTACATCCCCACTCAGTACGCCGACTGGAAGGAAAGAGAACTACGTCTGCGGGACAGACTCAGTCCACTCCCCAGCCAGTTCTCACCTCGGCTGGAGGAGTAACAGAGAACTAAGAGAATGGTCAGATCTGCCTCTAGAAGGCCAGTCCACGCTTGCTGACTCTATTGGCCTTCTAGTCCTGGGTACAGGACGTGAAAAAGGAAGGATAAAACTTACAACTCCTTCTGGCACAAAAGTCCCATACGGACCAATAGACTGGCAATTCTTCCTCCTAAGAAGAGTAAGTAAGGGTTTTTTTCCCCTGTAATAATTCTTCTCTTAGGAGTCAAGACAGTTCG